GAAGGCCTCAGGGCGCGCCCCCACCCACGGAGGCCCAGGGGGCTGAGTTTCCATGGATACGAAAGACCAGAGCCCGCCCCCACCCCAATCTCCCTTCTGGGCTGCTGGTGAAGACTCAGCACAGGGCTGGGCTTTCACCGCCCGCTGTGTCTGCCAGCAAGAGCGGAGTCCTCTCTTGAAACAGACACTGCCACAAAACTGTGCACCCCAGAAGACAGCCACGGGCTTCTATTTGTCCGCGGCTGGGAACCCAACTCAGGACCTTGCCCTTGCCAATCGCTGCTTTAAAATCACACTGAACGTGCTCTCTCTTCACTTTTTGTTTTCTTTGTTGGTTTTGCTCTGTTCAGTTCTGTGACGGTTCACTGGGGTCTTTTCTGTTCCTTTCTTCCTTCTTTTGTGTTTCTGGTGTGCTTTTGGTGAGTGTGGCCGCGCACCTGTTCTGACTGCATTTTCCGTTGTTCTAGTTTTCGTTTTTTCCTTCTTTCCTCCCCTCTCCTTCATTACAAATGTCCTCCGGCTTGAGTAGTCTTCCGCTGTCCTTTAGCCTTACTTCTAATGGAATTTTCTTCTTTCGTTTGTCCTTTTCGTCTTCTCTCTTTCACATTTTCTCCCCTTGGGGTAAATTGACTGTACTGCAGGGATATTTCCTGAATACAACCTTCCGTTTCGTCTTAGATTTTGTCATAGAGCTACAAATCCTGCAGCTAGGGTCAAAGGGGCAAATTATTAGTTACCACAGCTTGCCGTTTTCGAGTCTGTCTGCTGCTGCTGCTGCTGCTGTCACTACCGATTGTGCTATTAGGCCAGGATGGCATCCTTGTTGTCATCGATTGATCTTCCCTGTATGACAATCCCGAGATTGCCTGGGCGCCATAGGAAATACCACAGCCCGGGACCGAAGAACTGGGTGCAGGCCACGCAGGGTGCAACCTTCCGACCCTAGGAAACGGAAGAGACAGGGTCCCGGGCCAGACTCAAAGGCCAGAAGCCACCTCTGCCCAGAAGGCGTCTCCGAAAAGCAGTCAGTTCCCACAGAGCTCTCCACACTGTGACAAAGCGACTGAGCGAAGGCCACTGACAAGCCTTGACTCAGAACAGAAATAAACGCAAATGCACACCGGCCCAGGATCAGGGCACCAAAACCGAGAGAGCAGACACCACGGGACACAAACGACCCACAGACACCAACGCAGTCACCGTGGGTGACGCCGACAACCCACTCTCACCAACAGATCGGCTCGACCCACACGTTCATGAAGAACTAGCAGAGCCGAGGCCCAGCTGTGGACACGTGGGCTCGGTGGAAACCTCCAGGCTGTTCTACCCGAGCTCCCCAGAACACAGAGTCTTCTCAGCAGCGCCGGGCCCCTCCTCGGGAACACGCCACCTCCCGATCCCCAAAGCCTCCTCGCCATGGCTGGCTATCAGAGAAATGGAGCCCCCGGCGACACTGACATCCACCTCAGTGCGCCTTCGGCCCGAGGGGACGCTCACGTCTCGAGAGCGAGAGCGCAGGAGAGCAAGCGCTGGCGAGGCTGCAGGGAAGTGGGGACGTTTCTACACGGATGCTGGGAAGTGAAACACTCCGGGGATCAGCACAGAGACTCCTCGCAGAGGCAAACCAGGAAATTCCACGGAACCCGGGTCCTCCCTTCTACACCTCTCCCAGGAAGAGTACAAACACCACGCTGCAGTGCCACAAGCCCACCCGTGAGCTGCACAGTGGAACCGGTCTACCGTTCCATCAAGGCGAGGGCGCTGAAGAACACGAGCTCTCAGACCACCGCGCAGTGCGATTGTGCTCTAAGCAAGGGCTGCTCTGAGTCACCGGCGGGAAGACGGACGCCCCGCCAACTGTCATTGGAAGTGAAGGATATCAGACACACGAGCTTAACTAGGGCATGGTTTTGCTTACGTGAGAAGCCCAAAGGCTACATAAATGAAAGAGGACTGGGGCTTTAGCTCAGTGGTTCCACCGCCCGGCTTGCAAGCCAAACGTTCTGAGTTCGATCGCCGGTAACATATAAATGAATCAATGAATCCATAAAAATAATGACAGAGTCAACAAATAAAAGGTAGACAAAGGGGACACAGATTCCTGGCACACGGAAAGGGACCAAAGAGATGGGAGGAGGGACAGGGTGGGTGGACATGAAATGAATTGAGACCCGTCAAGTGCAGGTACGAGGTCCCCTAAGTACCCTGAGGTAGTTGTGACCCAGAGCAAACAGGTACCGATGAAAAAGGCTAGCAGGCCCTGGGCAGCCTCGGGGGCTCGTCCGGGGACACAGGAAACCCCACCAGGCTCATTCCGGCCACCTCCTGTCCTTTCTGTGCCCAGAGCTGCGGCTTTCCACGGAGAACAATGCTTCCGTCCAGCAGCCGCCACAGGGCCATCCCGCCCCTGACTGGCTCCTCGCTGGGACCCCTTCCTCTCCTCAGCGCCCGCCCCTCCTGGGTGAGCACCGCCTGTCAAGCACAGCCAGCCCTTCCCACCATGCCACCCCGTCCCACCTGCGTCACTCTGAACCCTGGACACGCGGCCCGTGGGACCTCCCACGCTCCTGCCTCTGCCTTAACACTTGTTTGAAGTACGCAGGAGCCCAGAGCACACGCTCAGCCTCGCGCAGAATTCTGTCTCCCGAGTGGCAGCCCTGACCAGCTCCAACAGACGTTCAGCTTCTCCGCGCTGAGGGCCTCAGTTTCTCCTGAGGGTCGACTGGGGTTTCCGCTGAACCTTTCACCTTCACCCCACCCAAGACCAGGAAACGCGGCGACCGAGAGCACGGAGAGACACAGAGGGGCATGGGAAAGTGCATTTATTGGGCTCCCGTGGGCGACAGGGGGACGCTGAGGATGAGGGCAGGCCCCTGCGGGTCGGGCAAAGGGAGGCTGCGGAGGCCTGTGCTGGATTCCAGCCCAGAGTCCAGCGGCTCAGCTCAGCGGGCCTCCCGGCGGCCGCAATGCTGAACGTGGGCCGCGCAAGTCTGTGTAGCTGTCCCGGCCACCTGGCCCGGCGACGGAGGTCATCAGCACGAGGAGGTGCAGCAGGAGGAGGTGCCGCAAGAGACGGGGCCGCAGAGGAGCGTGGGGCACCCCGAGGACTGGCAGGAGGGGGCCAGGCTCACCGAGGGCCCGCAGCTCACGGGGACACACAGGGAAGACTGGCAGGAGGGCTGGCAGCTCCCCGAGGACTGGCAGGAGGGCACCACGCACAGCACAGGCTTGCAGCTCACAGGCACGCAGCTGGCCGGCTGGCAGCCCGAGGAGCAGCTGGTGAGGCACATGGTGACTGAGGTGGCTGTGGCTGGGAGGAGGGGGTGATGTGTGCAGCCTCCTCCCCGAGCAGCATTTATACCCGGCTCCGGGAGCCTCGGCGGTGTGAGCACACTGCTGTCTTCCTGTTTTGGCTTCCTGCTTTCAAGGTTTGTGCTCTTCAATTTTGTTTTTACCTAGCCTTGGGGCTAATAGCACCCTCTGCACCTTCCTGCTCCATGTGAGAACCTGTGGCCAGCACTCTGATGCCTTACTGTGGACACTGGCTGCTTCCATTGCCTTTCCTGTTTGTGGGATTCCAATCCCCAGAGACGCCAGATTTTCCTCTACAGATATTGCTCGCATCAGCAGTTTTAGAAGTTCACCTTTGGCTGTCCGGAGGATAGGCGGGGAGACTGCCTTTTCTAGGTTAAGGACAAAGGCTTTGTTTTGTTGCAAATTTTTCCTGGGTATATTTCAGACTCCTTTTCCCTGTAAGGTTGTGAGGACCAGAAGTGAGCCACCACCACAGCTCCTACATGGAGATACAGCTCCATGTCTGGCCCAGTGCAGGTTGTGAGGCCAAGTGTGGAGGTCCCAGGGCTAGAGCAGGGCGCCAGGCAGGCGTGCGAAGGGACTGAAGATCTAGCTGGTCTTGCGCGTGTTCAGGAGAAGTGCGGAGCCCCAGGAGGGCCAGCAGCTGGCCAGAGCTTCAGGGTTCCTCAGCAGGTCCGGCAGCCTTTGTGCGAGGTGCCACCATCACTGCCATAGGATATAGGTATGCAAGGAGGTCTGTGCTCAGCACCACTGGGATGGGTCCCTGTGCCGCAGAAGACCATTCTCAGCACCCAGTGCAGCCCTGGTGGTTCACCTCTGCCGCACTGTATCCCGCCCAGGGTCTGCCCCTTGCCTGCCTTGTCCCTGGAGAAACTGCCCCACCCTCAGAAGCAGGCAGGTGTCCTGGGGTGGAGTCCCCAGTGTCTGCTTGCAATGGTGCAGCAGTGAGCATTTCCCTCTTTCTCAGAAGGCTACACGAGCTCCCGGACCCAAGGACCGAATCGGGCCTTCGCTGGGCAGATATGCAGCTGCTGGGACAGTTCCTGCAGACAGAAGCCCGGGCTCCGACACTTCCTCAGCAGATCAGGGCCATTGCAGTCGAGCTTCCGTCCAGGCTCACACATAGCTGCTGAGCCTCGGCCACCAGAACAGCCACGCTGCCTGCCCAGGTCACGTGAAGCCAGAGTCCAGAGCCCTGAGAGCAGGGTGGTCAGAGGCGAGGCCAGAGGTCTGTGCTCAGCAGGGCTCAGGCCCGCCCGGCCCTGCCCTGAACACAACCTCCCGGTCAGAGCGCAGGGTGTGAGTGGGCAGTGGGGACAGCGGGGGCCACACACATGCAGCGGATCACATGGCTTAACTTACAGCCATGATGGACCTGGCCCAGAGTCACCACCCTCCCTATGCGCAGAGGACTAGTGGAAAAGGCAAAATAAAGACAATGTGCCCAGAGATGAACTCCACAGTGAGCCCTTCTGGAGTGTGGAGCCCGTGCCTCCCCAGCATCAGCTTCCCCAAAGCAAGCTGAGAGCCCCTACCCTGCTCACCACTGCGGCTCACTGCCTCAGCCCTGCCTAAGCAGGGTGGCATCATCAGGAAAACAGGCCAGGCTTGATGAGTGCCGGAACCAGCGCCCAAGACAACACTGCAGGTGACGCCCAAGGAGCCTCTTACAGGAAGAACACACAGCAAGGGGAGGTATAAAAGGCCTGCAGCCCTGAGCCTTGTGCACACAGACACTCACACTCACACTCACACACTCACTCCCAGCCCAACCCCGCCATGGCCGCCTCCACCATGTCCGTCTGCTCTGAGCCCTGGCAGGTGGACGACTGCCCAGAGAGCTGCTGCGAGCCCCCCTGCTGCGCCCCCAGCTGCTGCCAGCCCAGCTGCTGCGCCCCGGCCCCCTGCCTGAGCCTCATCTGCACCCCAGTGAGCTGTGAGTCCAGCCCGAGCTGCCAGCCGGCTTGCTGCTCCTCCTCCTGCCAGCCGTCCTGCTGTGAGTCCGTCTGCTGCAAGCCCGTCTGCTGCACACCCGTCTGCTGCAAGCCTGTCTGCTGTAAGCCTGTGTGCTGCACACCCGTCTGCTGTAAGCCCGTCTGCTGCACACCTGTCTGCTGCAAACCTGTCTGCGGCATCCCCAGCTGCTCTGGAGCCTCCTCCTGCTGCCAGCAGTCTGACTGCCAGCCGGCTTGCTGCTCCTGCTCCCCCTGCCAGCCGTCCTGCTGCGTGCCCGTCTGCTGCAAGCCCGTCTGCTGCACACCCTCCACCTCCTCCTCCGTGTCCCTGCTCTGCCGCCCTGTATGCAGACCCACCTGCTGTGTACCCAACTCCCCCTGCTGCTCCTCCTCCTGTGAGCCCAGCTGCGGCACACCCTCCTCTTCCTCCGTGTCCCTGCTCTGCCGCCCTGCCTGCCCCTGCCCGTCCTGCTGAGGCCTCTCCCTGCGCCAGAAGTCCTGCTGCTGAGTGGCCTTGGCACCTATCCCCCCACAGGACCTGAAGCTCAGATCCAACCTCAGTGCTCTCTCTGCTGGCCTCTGGGCATCCTCAGCCTCTGTCCCCCTGGTGCGATCCCACGGCCTCCTCTTTCTGGTGGCTCCTACTAGCCCACTGAGGACACTGTCTCTGACCTCTGCCCTCTCCCAGGACCCCAGCCACCAGCTTGACATGGCTCTCCAGGCCAAGGCTTCAGGGGGCCCCTCTGCTCTGGGCTGCTGCAGCTCCTCTGGCTTCAAGCCCTGTGGGAGACCCAATAAAGTCCCCTTCCTGTAGCTCTGCTGTTGCTGCCACCCTTTTGGTCATTTCTAGCTGAATTCCTGCCCCCAGGCCTGGTACCAGGTACGGCCACCAGCCACCTGGCCCTCATCTGCACCACATGGCCAAGTGCTGTGGGCACATGTGGCTGCTGCCCCAGGAAGGGTGTGGGCATTGGTGGGGAGCCCGCCTTCCAAGAACTGTCCCCAGTCCTCCCTGGCCTGGGTGGGTGGGGCTGTCGGGTCAGGGGGCAGCCCCAACAGCCCTGGGAGACCTGCCCAGCCCTGCCCTCACTGGCTCAGCTGCCCTGACCCCCAGGCCTCCCTTTCCTGTGGCCCTGTGGCTTTCCTAGCGCGGAAATCATCCCTGGAGCTGCTCCTCCTGATGATGCCTCTGGCTCAGTGCAGCCTGTGCACCCCAGGGACGCTAGTGGTATTCTTCAACCCTGCCCTCCTCCCCTGCCCCATCAGCCCCAGTGCTGTCCGCCTGCCCTGGCAGCGCTGTGGGTCCTGTTGCACCTCAGTCCCATCCACCCCTGCCAGCCAGTTCTGGCCCGCAATGCCCTGTGCCTGACCGACCTATGTGCCCACTGTGGTGTAAAACAGTGCCCTCCTGATGTGCTACCCCCGTCCCTTGTCCGGTTTGGGGACCCTCTGTGGACTCCAGCCTTAGAACCCAGGCCTGAATGCTAATCCAAGGCTGGGTCACAACTTTCTCCAATCTGCTGGGGGTCAAGGGTCACAAGGCTCCACCTCCTTTCCTAGAGCTGGGTGTCATCCCTTGGGGTCCCTCACCACTGTCACCCCTGTCCAGGGGGATTCCAGCCCTTGTTTGCCAGCTGAGTCTTGACTGGATGAGGTGGCCTAGGAAGACAGTGACATGGCTGTGGGGGCGTGAGCTTCCGGTGCCTGGCTCCTGGGACACATGACTTTCTACAGAGCCTTTACCATCAGGGACCCATGAAGATAGAAGCTCTCACACATGGCCTCTTTTAAAGAAAGTGTTTTCTTTTTTCAGTAGAAGATACCACCCTCAGAGGGAGGATGGCAGTAGTACTAGGGACTTGGGAGAGAGTCACCTTCCTGGCCAGGCTGGTCAGCCCACTGTGGTGAAGGCTGAAGAAGGCAGCCGTGGGCCAGCTGCAGAGGCAGGGCCTGGGGGCCACTGGCCTGTGTGTGACCCAGAAGAGCCATCGCTTTCCTGTTGTGTCCTGTGCGGTGCCGAGACACCCTGTTTTGAAGGAGCGGAGAGAGGAGGCTGCTCTCATGGGCAGTCCAACCTCGGTCACCAAAGTCCTGCTGCCACAGTCCCAGGACGATGCAGAACACTTAAGAGGGCTGGACTTCGCAGAGTGGGGGCACTTGGCTAAGTCCTGAGATGTGAGATGGCCTTGGGTTGCCCCAGTGCAGCAGCCATCACTCCTGCCCCTGTGAAGGGGAGCTGAGAGGAACGTTCCCCAGGAGGGAGACCAGCACAGAGCCTGAGGCAACGTGACCCCAAGCTAGGGGCCCTCACCCGGGCTGGCAGAGGCAGGAGCTCCCGGAGCCCCCTTGGACATGGACCTACAACACTTCTCCTCAGCAGAGCAAAAGCGCTTGGCTTCTGATGCCCAGAGTACCTCACTGAGAAGCATACACTAAACAGAGATCTCCACGTTAGCAATGCAGTCTTTTCCCTATGATCAACGCAAAAGCTTCAGCACAAAAACAAAAATGAAAACAAGAGAAACATGAGAAGACAAAGCAACAGGCCGTCTCCCAAGACTGTATCCTCCCCCAAAGCTGATCCATGCTGCTAAATTATTTGAAATGATAAAGAGGAAACAAAAAGGCCAGTGAGGTGCTTAGGGAGTTCAAAGAACACATCATAAACAGATAATGAGTCAGTGAGTTTACAGAAGCACTGAGGAAAAGCCAGCTGAACTAAATGAATGGTCCGCAACATGAATGACAAGTGAGGTGGAACTAGAGTGCACGGAAGATATGGAACAGCAACGCGGAGATCAGACGTCCTCGTGAAAGTACAGGCAGCAGAAGGGACCACTGTGAGGCAGGGCTGATGCCAGTGACATCTGAGATATCTTTAAATATTAAGAAAAGATATCATGAAAATTATGAGAGAACAGGAAAAATGTTATCGAACAGGAGCGAGACTATGCGAAGGGGACTAAGATTCATTTGAATTAGTAAAAAATTCAGAAGACAAATGTTGTTAAAAAACCTGTTTACACAAAGGACATCAGAAAGCTTTCCAAGTATGGGGAAAAAATTAACATAGATAAATGACACACAGAGAACCACAAACAGTCATGATCAGGAAAGATCTTCCCCACAATATGTCTTGGGCAAAATCCCAAACATCCACACAAGAACAGAATCCTAACAGCTGTTACAGAAGAGCAATGAATCGCCGGTAAAGGAAAGCCCGTCTGAATACAGCAGATGTCCCAACACAAACCTTCCAGGCGAAGAGACCCTGGAGTGAAGTGTTTCAAGCCCTAAAACAACTTCCAACCCGGACTGATGTATCCTGTAAAATTAGCTTTCAAAATTGACAGAGAAGTGAGGTATTTTTAATGACAAAAAACTCCGCAAGAAATCCATGACCACCAAACCGGCACTCCTAAAAATTCTCAGATGTCCTCAAAAGAGTCCACGAAGCCAACAATGCCAAAGACTCCAGCAGAATGAACACACCAGGCAGAGTAAGGAAGGAAGGGAATCAGCAGCAGCCTCATAATACAATGATGGGAATAAGTGAAAACTTTCAGTAATAACTCTCAGTGTGAAGGATCTCAATCCTCCAATCAAAACACATAGATTGGCAGAATGGAGCAAGAAACCAAATCTGACAGTATTCTGTCTACCTACCACCCAGGGAGCTGGATGGTGTGATTAATAGCCAGGATAGATTGCCAAGAAACGCGTTCAATCCAAAGAGGCATTGATAGGCTAAAGTCAAAGAAGGGAAAACAACATTCCATGCAATGGGAACTTGAAAAAAAGCAGGAGTATCTTACCTATTTTCAGACAAAGTGGACCTGAGTCAAAACTGATAAGAAGAGGCAAAGAATGTCATTCACTGTTGGCTAAGGTAACTATATAACACCAGGAGGTAACAATTATAACTGTACATGCACTGGACACTGGCACACCCAGCTTCATAAAACAAGCACTCCTGAACATGAAAGACCAGATAAACATCAGCACAATTATACTGGGAAACTCAATACACCACTGTCAAAAGTAGACAGACCACCTAGACAAAAATCCACACAGATGTATCGAAGTTGAGCCAAACCTTTGAACAATAGGACTTAGAAGATCTGTGCAGAGTATTCCACCCAGAAGCAGAGTACACGTTCTTCTCAGTATCACATGAAACTTTCTCCAAAACAGAACACATACTAGTCCATGAAACATGCTTCAGTAAATGCTACGAATGGAATTATTCCATTCCTATTATCAGATCACAGCACATGGAAACTAGAGGTTAATGGCAAAGGAAACCCCAGAAACTATGCAAACACATGAAAAATAAATGATATACTGTTTAATGCTCAACGTGTCAAGGGAGAAACCACACAGTTCCTAGAGTCAAGCCACAATGCCGGAACAACATAACAGAGCTTCTGGGACACAGTGAAAGCAGTCAGAAGGAGGAGACTGAAAGCTACAAAAGCCCACATCTAAACCAAAACCAAAACACAAAAATAGAGTAAAACATAATCAAAGAACAAGCAAACCGAAACCTAAGAAAGCAAATAACCTAAGAAAAGCCAGGACCCACTGGATCCATCATGGAATGCTGTAAGATTGATGCGCCTTGGGCCCAGGGTCCAGCTCAGTGGTGCCACTGCCTGCCTCGCAAGCGCAAGGTCCCAAGTTTGACCCCGGTACTGAAAAAAAAGATGCACCTCAAGGTCCTAGAAAAACAAGAACAATCCAAATCCAAAGCGAGCACAAGGGAGGACATTATAAAGATTACAGCAGAAATTAATGAAATTAAAACAAAACAATACAATCAATGAATTGAAGAGCTGTTTCTTTGAAAGACAAAGCTCCTTAACCAATCTTATTAAAAAAAGAAATAAAAAGACCCAAATCAACGCAATGAGAAATAAAAAGGTAAGGAAGGGCCAGGGACTTAGCTCAGTGGTGCTGCCACTTGCCTTGCAAGCACAAGGTTCAATCCTTGGTACCAAAAAAAAAAAAAAAAAGAAAAAGAAAAGAAAGAAAGAAAAAGAAATAAAAAGGTGAGATCAGGGCTGGGTAATTAGCTCAGTGTTTCTGCCAACTGCCTTGCAAGTGCAAGGTCCCAAGTTTGACCCCAGTACCAAAAAAAAAGAAAGAAAGAAAAACATAAGATCACAATGGAAGCTATAGAAGTCCAGAAAATTCTTAGGAACTTCTTTGAAATACTTGCACTCCAATAAATTGAAGAATCCATAAGAAATGGATAAATTCCAAGATACACATGAATGACCAAAAATGAACCGAGAAAATAGAAGAACTGTGAATACTCCAATAACAGGCACGGACATTGAAGCAGTAAAAATAAAAACTCCGCCCACTAAGAAGAGCCCAGGACCTTGTCTTGGTCAGCTCCCAGGCCCGAGGCTCCCACTGCTCTGTTCCAGGTTCTTTGGCCTTTCCAGTGCAGTTACCCAGGCGCTGGGGCTGGGCGCTGAGCTGACAGCACTACTGTGTGTCTCATGGCCAAGGCCCCTCTGTCCACAGCTGCAGCCTGTGTGCCACGGGGGCCTCCGTGGGCCTCCACCCAGGCATCTGGACAAAGGAGGTTGCGAACCCACTCTCCTTTCGGGACACGGTGGATCACGCTCCTCTCTCCAAAAAGTCACAGGGTCCCAGACACCTTTTCGGCATCCACTCACAGCTTCTAAGACATTCGGCATCAGGGACGCACCCTGGAGATGTGCCTCCCTGAAACACAGCCAGCTAAGACAAGCGGGGTCAGCTGCACCCCAGTGCGGCCCTGTGGCAGCTGGATTTGGAGCAGATGACACCTGGGAGTCAGCTTTCCCGAACACAGGACAGGGTGGGTGCATCAGCTCGGGCCTCAGGGCGGGTCCCAAAGGGCTCTGGGCCCGGGGGAGGCTCTTCCTTCCCGGTCTGCACAGGCAGCAGGGGCCCCGCCCAGCACACTCTGCCTCTCACAGCAGCGATGCTTTCCTGCCCTTCCTGCTGGACTCCAGCTCTGCTGCTCATAAAAAGGGATTCTGGCTACATTTACAGCTGGCCACACCCTTGTAGCTCCAGGCCTGGCCAGAAATGGAAAGCACTGATCAGACCTTCTCAGAGCGCTGCTATGGGGGAGCCTGACTGCTGGTTGTGTCACTGCGTCCCTGGGCCACACACGGGCAGTGCACGGCCTCAGCCCTTGCTGCAGTGGTCGCTCACTGGCAACAGAAAGGAGAACAACCTGTAACAGGTGAACACCAGTTAAAGCCGCCTGAGAACAGAGAACCAATCTTTTCCTGTCCGGCGCATTCCCTCCTCTAGAGGCTGGGAACCCAGTTCCTCCTGAACTCCGGCCCGGACCTCCTCATCCTCTCCTGGAGCTCAGGGCCAGGGCTGAAGTCTCATAGAAGTCACAGCGTAGGGCATAACCTTGGGTCTGTGTGGAGCCCGGAGCCCTGCATGGCCACGTGACAGAAGGGCGTTCTGCAGATGCTTTGCTGTCTAAGCCACCGCAGGCTCTGAGGAAGGCCCGTCTCTGTGTGGCTGGCGATTTCCATTTTGGAAATCCCCACTGTGCCCTTGCCAGCAGGGTCTGGCCACAAGAAACTCTTCTCCACATGCTTCCGCGTCGCTGTCCTCCGTGTGTCGTCTCCCACACGGTTCCTACGGTCGGCCTCAGCTGCATCACTCAGGGCGTTCACGCCAGCTCGCACTTGCCACCCATGTAGGAGTTACTGGTGCCTCCCGTGATGCTGCGTCCTGACAGCACCGCCCCGCGCGCGGACCCCAGCCTACGGCCTGGGGCCAATTTAGCGAGCAGCAGCTGCTGAAACTAACAAGGCTGTGTGGCTCCAAAAGCTCCCGGAATCTCATACCATCTGGAGAGCTGGGGAAGCCCTGGGGCTGCAGCCACCCTCCCCTGGATGGAGCGACTCTCCTTCCCGCCTCCGAGGAAGTAGAATACAATCCTCAGGCTGGCGTGGCTCTGCTTGCTAGGGTGCACTTCGTTGCGAGGCACAGAGAGGATCTGCCAGCTAGGGTGGGACTGTCATTCAGACAGCTGGTCAGGAAGGACTCTGGCTGTTTCCGACTGTCCTTCCACACTTGGGCTCTCAGTTCAGGTACTCACACGACACAAAGGAGGCGGGCTGTGTGCTGAGCCGAGGAGGAAGCAGACTTGGTGCTCCTGCCGCAGCTGCAAAGCGACAGGACAGCAGGGGTCAGGTCCAAAACCTCTGCCACAGCTGGACAGGCTGCTGGGAACGCAGGTCACCCAATCCCAGCCCATGTGACCTTAACCACGGGTTGATTTAGGAGCAGAACTGATCAGAGATACAAAGTGTCCTTGCTCTACTGCCCATCCTAACAGCTACCCTGATTCTGTGCCTTTCCTCATGTTTCAGAGAAGTAAAACACATGGCGTAATGGTGGCCTGAGGACTTGAAATGACCCTTCACCGCCGGCTGGCCTTCCTGAGTCTGGTGCTTCTGCTCCACCCACAAGCCAACCTAAGCCATAAACCCTGTTTCTTGCTTGACAGCAGTTCTCAAAAAGGAAGAAGTGACAGACAGCACTTTGTTGGGGACAGATTTGATCAATAGGGAAAGTATGGAAGAAGTAAGACCAGAAAGGCAAAAGAGTTTGATGGCTCACAAAGTCCCAGGCCAAGAGGCCCTAATAGATATGGACTCAGTCCTGTCCACCTCAAACAAACACGGGACCCTGGCAAGGAGTGAGTGTCTTACCCCAGGACCAGGAAGCCTCACCAGTGAGAACATTGCACACACAACGAGCGGTTTCACAGGAGAACCGCATTCCCTGAAGGAGCCAGCCGCCAGGAACATCTTGGCCCTACTTGGGCACTTTCCCAGGAGTCCCTGTGCTCCTCAGCACGGCCCTCCCTTTACGACACAGCCACTCACAAACACCCACCTCATCCCGCAATCCCCTGCTGTCCCGCCTGCATCAGTGAAGCCAGGACACAGCCAGTGAAACCCAAACACTCCTGCCTCTCCCTTTAAAACTTGTTTGAAATCTGCAGAAGCCCAGAGCACGCACTCAGCCCCGTGGAGAATTCTTTCTCCTTAGGACCGCACTAATCAGCCAAATATATGTTGTTCTCCTTAGTCTACTCAGGCCTCAGTTCCACTCATGGGGCAACTTGGGTCAGACCTGAAACCTTTCATCACCAGAATCACAGAAGGCTGAGAAACAGGGATGGAAAAAGAAGACCAAACTAACAGAGCTACATAGGGAAAATCTATTTATTGGGTTCCCATGGGATATAGGAACAGGAACATGTCTTGGGGATGGACAGGGAGGAGACGCTCTGGACCCGAGAGCTGGATCCTAGAGCAGCGTCTCAGCTCAGCGGGCCTCCCGGCGGCCGCAATGCTGAACGTGGGCCGCGCAAGTCTGTGTAGCTGTCCCGGCCACCTGGCCCGGCGACGGAGGTCATCAGCACGAGGAGGTGCAGCAGGAGGAGGTGCCGCACGAGACGGGGTTGCAGAGGAGCGTGGGGCACCCCGAGGACTGGCAGGAGGGGGCCAGGCTCACCGAGGGCCCGCAGCTCACGGGGACACACAGGGAAGACTGGCAGGGGGGCTGGCAGCTCCCCGAGGACTGGCAGGAGGGCACCACGCACAGGACAGGCCTGCAGCTCACGGGGACACACACGGAGGACTGGCAGGAGGGCTGGCAGCTCCCCGAGGTCTGGCAGGAGGGCACCACGCACAGCACAGGCTTGCAGCTCACAGGCACGCAGCTGGCCGGCTGGCAGCCCGAGGAGCAGCTGGTGAGGCACATGGTGGCTGAGGTGGCTGTGGCTGGGAGGAGGGGGTGATGTGTGCAGCCTCCTCCCCGAGCAGCATTTATACCCGGCTCCGGGAGCCTCGGCGGCGTGAGCACACTGCTGTCTTCCTGCTTTGGCTTCCTACTCTCCCAGTGTGCTTGTTTCTTTGTTTCTTTTGACTCAGCTTCATGGCTAATTGCACCCTCTCCATGATCCTGGTACATAAGAAACCTGCCCCAGCAATGCCTGGCCTGTATCTAGGTTCTGAGTGACTCTCTCAGCTTTCTTCAATTATTCTGGCAAGATCCCAGCAACCCAAGGTATTGATGCCAGATTTCCTTCCAGAAGGATTTGTATTGTTCCAACCGCCACCAAGGTGACACTTGACTGGTAGGTCAGTAAGGGTGGCAGAAGATGAGAGGCTGAATGGAATAAGCGTGCTCATCAGGATGTTCTGGGAGCTCAGTGCAGTCACATAGGAGGAAGAGCATAGAGACTTTGTCTGCCCAGTACAGGAGGATGAAAATGACATCCAGCCCAGCCATATAAACTCTCCAAACTATCTTTTAAAATCAGTGGTAAAATAAGGATATTCCATGACAGAGACACATTAAGAAATCTATGAAAACAAAGCTATGCTCCAACAATACTCAAGAACATCCTAGACAGAGACAATAAACCAAAAAAAGCCCAAAGTGGTAAATAGGTGGAGCAAGGTCAGTAGTTACAAACAAAGTACAGGGAAAATAAAGGAGCCAACAGGAACGAGTCAGGAATGAGTCACTCTGTCTCAGCAGTAACTCAGAAGCGCAGATTGGGAGACTGCCTCAAAAACAAAACTCAATGGTCTGGTGCATTCAAGAGCCTCATCTAATCATAAAGAAATTCATAGACTAAAAATCAAAAGATGGAAAACAATATTCCATGCCCCAGGACCCCAAAAGCAAGAAAAGCCATTTTATTCTCAAACAATACTTCAGGATAAAACCAAGCCAAGAGGGAATGAAGATCTCTCTATATTAATTAAGGGGACCATTTGACAGGAAGAGATGATGAAATGAAAATGTACATGCATTGAATATCACTAAAACACCCAAACACAAACAATACTGGACATAAAAGATCAGACAATAGCTAACATGATATAGTGGGTGACCACAATACCCCACTTTCCAAAAATAATTAAATATACAAAATATAATGGTGGAGTATCACAGCAAAATCACATTTTAACAACTTACTTAATAAATATCTACAGAATTTTCTACCCTATTTCAGAATACACATTGTTCTCGACAGCTCCCAGAAATTCCTCCAAAAGTGGCCTCAGAACCAGCCCATAAAATCTCTTCAAATAAATACAAAAAATCTAATCCATCCCACATATACTATCAGATCATAAAGCACTGCTACTAGATATCGATCACCAAAAAACCCAGAAATTTTTATTAACATCAGGATGTTAAATAACACATTCCTGAACATTCAATGCATAACAGGAGAAATCAAGAAAGAAAGTAAACATTTCCTAGAATCAAAGGACAGTGCCAGTTCAACATACCAGAATGTATGGGAAACAATGAAATCAGTCCTAAGAGGGAAATTTATAGTGTGAATGCTCACATTAGAAAAACAGAGCAAGGTCAAACAAGTAACCCAAATACCAACCTCAAAATACTAGTAAAACAAGACCAGTCCCAGTGTAGTAGAAGGTGGAAATCATAAATATCAGTGTGGAAATTAACAAATTTAGACCAAAAACACAAGGAACTCATGAATTGAAGAGTTGGTTTTTTGAAGAATAATTAACAGAGATAAATTCCTACCCAAATTTAAAAAAAGAAAGAAGGAAAGACCCACATCACTGTAGCTTGAACTGAAAAAAATCATAACTAAAATTAAAACCTCTGGAATCAAGACTATCGTTAGGAACTACTATGAAAAACTATACTCCAACATGTTGGAGAACCCTGAACAAATAGGTAGATTCCTAGACACACATGAATTACCGTAACTGAAATAAGAAAACATAAAAATGCTGAACAATCCAATAAGAGGCAATGGAATAAAGGCAATGTTTTAGTTAGTTTTCTCATTGCTGAGACAAAATATCTGGCACCCAAAGTTGCAGGTGGAAAGATTTACTTGGCTCACAGTTTGTAGAGGTCTCTGTTCATCTTGGCTGGCTCCAAGGAAGGGTAGCATGGCAGAGGGGCAGCAAAGAAGAGAAACAGTTCATGGCAGGCAGAAGCCAACAAGCAGTGAAGTAGCTAAGCAAGGGACAACAGAAGCCCTCTTTCTGTCCCACTTATTCTATCCAGGCAAGTGTAGGGCAGGTAGCACTCACAACAAAGCTGGGCCTTCCCATTGTCCAACCCGGGAAATATGCCAAACCAATCAGTGGACTAATGCTGTAATCACACACCCTTAAAACCAGGATCACACAATTAATGCCAGAATTCAAAAACTAGATTCAGTCACCTCTCAAAACCCAGCTGTGTAGAAGGGCTCCTTTTTCCCTACAGCCTCACTGGTGTTGATTATTTGATTTCTTGATGATGACCATTCTTTCTGAAAGAGGTGAGGTGAATTCAGCATTCTTTAATTTGTAGTTCTCTAATGACCAGTGATATTGAACATTTTTCCATGAATTCATGGACCACTTGTCCTTCTTCTGAGAAATGTCTGTTCATTTGCAGCTGCCCAGGTTTTGACTGGGTCTTTTATTTGGAGGGGACTAATTGTTTTAGAGATCTTTACATGGTCTAGATATTTCTTCTCTGTCTAAGGAATAGTTAGCAAAGCTTTTTCCTATTCATTCTGTCAGTCTCTTTATTCTGTTGGTTGTTTCCTATGATGTGGAAAAGCTTTGGGGTATACAATCCCATTTGTTGATTCTCACTGTTTTATTGTGGGACACTGGAGTTATGTTCAGAAAGTCCTTGCCTCTGTCTGTGGCTTCAAAAGTTTTACCTATTTCATCTTTTAGTAGGTTAAGGTTTCTGTTTGAAAATTTAGACTTTTGACCCATTTTCCATGGTTGGGGGAAATGTAAACTAGGTTAACCATTATGGAAATCAACATGGAGTTTCAAAAAAACACAAAAAATAGAAATTCCAGGGCTAGGGACTTAGTGCAGTGGCATCGCACCTGCCTCACAAGCACAAGGTCCTGAGTCTGATCCCTATCACCAGAAAAAAAAAGAAATTCCATTTAACCCAGCTATTCTGCTTCTAAGTATGTCCCCAGAGAGTTAAAGACATCATATTACAGTGATCTGTGCACACCCATGTTTATATTCGCACAACTCGTAACGACTATGTCTTGCAAGCAGCCCGTATGCCCATCAACAGATGAACGGAGAGAGAGATGAGTGTTTTATGCTGTTACAAAGATGTATTAAAGAAAAGCAAAACAAAACGAAACACCAAACAAAACCTGGGTCCTGGGCAGGCTCGGGGGCTCGTCCCGGGACACAGGAAACCCCACCAGGCTCATTCCGGCCACCTCCTGTCCTTTCTGCGCCCCGAGCTGCGGCTTTCCACGGAGAACAATGCCTCCGTCCAGCAGCCGCCACAGGGCCATCCCGCCCCTGACTGGCTCCTCGCTGGGACCCCTTCCTCTCCTCAGCGCCCGCCCCTCCTGGGTGAGCACCGCCTGTCAAGCACAGCCAGCCCTTCCCACCATCCCGCCCCGTCCCACCTGCGTCACTCTGAACCCTGGACACGCGGCCCGTGGGACCTCCCACGCTCCTGCCTCTGCCTTAACACTTGTTTGAAGTACGCAGGAGCCCAGAGCACACGCTCAGCCTCGCGCAGAATTCTGTCTCCCGAGTGGCAGCCCTGACCAGCTCCAACAGACGTTCAGCTTCTCCGCGCTGAGGGCCTCAGTTTCTCCTGAGGGTCGACTGGGGTTTCCGCTGAACCCTTCACCTTCACCCCACCCAAGGCCAGGAAACGCGGCGACCGAGAGCACGGAGAGACACAGAGGGGCATGGGAAAGTGCATTTATTGGGCTCCCGTGGGCGACAGGGGGACGCTGAGGACGAGGGCAGGCCCCTGCGGGTCGGGCAAAGGGAGGCTGCGGAGGCCTGTGCTGGATTCCAGCCCAGAGTCCAGCGGCTCAGCTCAGCGGGCCTCCCGGCGGCCGCAATGCTGAACGTGGGCCGCGCAAGTCTGTGTAGCTGTCCCGGCCACCTGGCCCGGCGACGGAGGTCATCAGCACGAGGAGGTGCAGCAGGAGGAGGTGCCGCACGAGACGGGGTTGCAGAGGAGCGTGGGGCACCCCGAGGACTGGCAGGAGGGGGCCAGGCTCACCGAGGGCCCGCAGCTCACGGGGACACACAGGGAAGACTGGCAGGAGGGCTGGCAGCTCCCCGAGGTCTGGCAGGAGGGCACCACGCACAGCACAGGCTTGCAGCTCACAGGCACGCAGCAGGCCGGCTGGCAGCCCGAGGAGCAGCTGGTGAGGCACATGGTGGCTGAGGTGGCTGTGGCTGGGAGGAGGGGGTGATGTGTGCAGCCTCCTCCCCGAGCAGCATTTATACCCGGCTCCGGGAGCCTCAGCGGTGTGAGCACACTGCTGTCTTCCTGCTTTGGCCTCCTCCGGTCGTCCCGGCTCACGTGCCCGTGTGCTTCTGTTTTGGTTCGGCCCCAGCTTGTTGACTCTGACGCTCTCCGTGCTCTCTCTGGCCTCCTTCACCTTCGTCCGTCCTCCAGCCTCCGTACAGAAGAGGGAAGAGCCAACCCCCGGAGAGACACATGATGAGGATGCCCAGCCTGCTCCTGACGGCGTACTGTGTCTGCCTCAGCTGTGGAGCTCCCATCCCGGATATGGGCTCTGCGTTCGAGTCTGTTGTTTGGTGTCCGGTCCATCATCGAGAGGTGATCGGCCTTGCCCAGTCCTGCGAGCCCCACTCCTCAGCCAGGTCCTCATCATCCTCACTCAATGATGGAGGGGTCTCAGCTCCCCTCCAACCTCTGCCTCTTCACCCTTCCCTATTTACAAAGACTGTTTCCATGTTTCCTTTTTTCATATGTTTTCCCTTATTTCCCTTCCCCAACCTTCCCCTTTTCCTTTAGACCTTTTCTTCCTATTTCACACTATTGATTGTACCATCTGAACCTTATTTACACTTTTAGTTTTTCACACCAGAGAAACTATTCGGTATTTACTCAAGCGTGTCCTATTTATTTCACTTAAGAGTATGGCCTCAATGTGCATCCATTTAGATATAAATGTCTCTAGTGTCTCATTCTTCATG